AAGCCTGCATTGTGCGAGCTCGTACGATTTGATTAGCTGAGCTGGCAGACCGGAACTGCGGAAGCAGGCCGGATGACTCTCCCTCATACACGAATCGACAAGAAAGAATATAAATTCGAAATCGCGCCCAACGTACAATTCACTTCGTTTCAGTCACATAATCCTCCGTCGCCATGGCTCCGATGCGATTCCGTAATGTTTGAATTTGTAGAATGCCGCATAATTAAATATGGAGATATTGGATCGGTGATAACTGTAGATTTTTCTTTAGGCATAAAAGGCCTCATAAATCAAAACACAAATGTACTTAGATTAATCCGTGAAAAGAAGCGCCACAAGAACCGTCAAAACCAGACCTAGGGCATCACACTTTTTATCTAGACGACGGAAAATGTAACGTCTCAGCTTTCTGGTGCGTTGGTGTGTCTCGATATTAGTTTTTAATTTTCTAATTTGTACAACCGCAGACAGACTTGGTTATTACCACTTGCACTGAAATTACAGTGACCTACACTGCACGCTATAACGTAGCCCGTTACACGCGTTACAACGTTTCACCTCCGGTGTATAGGCTTTTACTAGCAATCACTCACGCATAGAACCCCTGCTTCGCGAGACAGAGATTTCTACCTACACGTCATCCGAACTCAGGCAGCGACCGCCCCACAGTCTCACCGTATACCTGTCGAAACGTTTTGCTAGATATGAATTAGTGTACGAAGTTCATATGTATAACAACGTACATGGTATAAGTGTAGTATCGGTATCGTATGTATTTTTGTGTAATGTATATGTTAGTGTAACCCGCTGGTCGCTTGCGCCACTAAGCCAGTATAAACTTCACGGCCCGTGGAAAGGTCGTGGTGGGAACGGTTCACTGGTTCGAAGATTTGGAGCGCTTGTCTATTCCACATGCGGTTGCAAGCGCGGCGCACGGGAAGGGGTAGGAGGGATGACGAGAGTAGCAGCTGCTAAAGTACGTGCATGGCATTTGCAAACTTCGCGCTTCACCAAAGCGATAGGATAGATGCCAGACGGGGGACGGCGGCGGAAGGTCGGCCGGAGTCGACAGACGGACTAGACGGCAGACGGACAGACGGCACATACGGACAGACGGACAGACGGACAGACGGACAGAACGGACAGACGACAGACGGACAGACGGAGCTAAACAAGTGTCATGCAATCGACCGAAACAATACAACAAACGACGCGCGGGCGGACGACGACGCACGGACGGCTACGACGAAGCGGACGAGCGACGAGGACGGACGGACGGACGACGACGACGGACGGACGGACGGATCGACGGACGGGACGGGACGACGACGACGACGACGGACCGGAGGACACGATAACATAGATAGGACATAGATAGACATAGATAGATCTAGATAAGACATAAGATAAGACATGACGATAAGCATAGAGTAGACATAGATAGCCATAGATAGACATAGATTAGACATAGATAGGACAATAGATGAGACGATAGAAGACCATAGATGGAGACATAGATAGGACATATGATAGACAAGATCGACATAGATTAGAGCCGTAGCAGTAGGACATAGATTAGACATAGATAGACCTAGATAGGGACAAGATAGACTAGTAGATAGACATGAGATAGACCATCCTGATAGACATAGATAGACATAGATTAGGACATAATAGACATAGAGTAGACATAGATAGACTAGACTAGACATAAGATAGACGATAGCATAAGACATAGAATAGGACCATAGATACGACATAATAGACATAGATAGACATAGATAGTACCTACGATCAGTAGCCATAGATAGACATAGAGTAGACAAGTAGACATAGAATTGGACCATAGATAGGACATAGATAGACATAGGATAGACATAGATAGACCAAGATAGACGAATAGATAGACATAGATGGACGAGCATCGGATAGAACATAGACTTAGACATAGATTAGACATGAAGATGAGACATACGATAGACATAGATAGACATAAGAGTAGACATAGTATAGACAGAGGATAGAAAATCGCGCCATCTCGAGGCATAGATAGGACCGATAGATAGACTAAATAGACATAGATAGACACAGATAGACATTGATTAGGACATTAGATAAACTAGATAACATAGGATAGACAGTAGACATAACATAAGATAGACATAGATAGACATAGATAGACATAGATAGGACATAGATTAACCAGATAACATAGATCGACGACTAGATAGACACTAGATATACTAGATAGACATAAGATAGACATAGATAGACATAGATAGGAGCATAGATAGACATAGATAGACATAGATAACATAGATAGCACCTAGATGAATATAAGATAGCGTGACATAAGATAGCATAGATAGACGATAAGATAGACATAGACTGAGACGATAGAAGACCATAGATATACCTAGATAACATAGATAGACCATAGATAGACAGAGATAGACAATAGATAGACATAGATTAGACCATATGAAGACATACGGAGTGACGACATAGATAGACATAGATATTACTAGATAGACTTAGAAAACATAGATAGACATAGATAGACATAGATAGGACATAGATAGACCATAGATAGACATGAGATAGGGACATAGATAGACATAGATAGACCATAGAAGGACATAGATAGACATAGATAGACGATAGAAGACATAGATAGAGCCATAGATAGACAATAGATAGAACATAGATAGACTAGATAGAGCATAGCTAGACATAGCATACGACATAAATAGACATATAGATAGACATAGATGCAGCCATAGCTAGACATCGATAGGACATAGATAGACCTAGATATGACGATAGATAGACATAGATAGACGAGTAGAATAGACTAAGATAGCACATGATAGAATAGATTAGACATAGATAGACCATAGATAGACCATCGATAGACATAGATAGAATAGGAGTAAGACATTAGATAGACATAGAGTAGAGCGAGAATAGACATAGATG